GTTCAGTGTTGTCAAAACGTGGCCATTTAAATATGAGTGGACTTCAATTCCCAGAATTCCCCAGCCAGCATGGCTGGGTGGGGAATTCTGGGAGTTGAAGTCCACTCATATTAAAGTGGCCAAGTTTGGACAACACTGAACTAGATCTTTGTATGATGGGTCCAAAATACGAAAATATTCTCAGGGTCTTCTCGAACACCAAAGTTCAGAAGCATCAGTACTCTTCCTCTCCTGCTTCTTCAAAGTCCAACTTTTGCTTTCACAGAGTCACGGGGAAGACCACGGCTTGCACGATTCTGATCTTTGCAGGTAGAGACACGTCACAGTATCTGAACATCTCCTCCAAGGCCTTCACGGCTGCTCTACCAAGCACGAGTCTGCAGCATATTTCCTGACTCTTGCTTGACCATTGATGGTGGATCCTAAAAGGAGGAAACTCCAATGTCGCTTCACATTATTGACAATATTGTCAACGACGTTAGCATAGTGCTGTTTTATTTTTTTATGTTGTAGCCTTTGGGGGTTATTGTATATAAGACAGACAGCTGTGTAAGTCTAATACGCAAATGGGTACATTCTCCTGCCTCTCCTGGCAACTCTGAACCCACTCCAGTTTCTCCCTGTCTCTTCTCAAGCGCCGTTCCCAGAGCTGGAACCCCCAGAGCACAGTGGGGTTTCCCCTCCCCTGCATTGGGCGCAAGGCTTCTGCTGGTGCACCCAAAAGTTGCCTTGGCCTTTTTCACTGCAGCAGGCATCCAGCTGACGGTCCGCTGGGCGCCCTCATCCTCTTCTCGGCATGGCTGCCGAGCCGGTTCTCTTCCCGGTCCCGTGCATTTGTCTTCCTCGCTGAGATGCAGGACCGCCACCGCCTTGTCCCCCAGAAATTCACGAGAAAGCTCAAGCCAGCAAGTGATGAGTTCAGGATCACCGCAAGGAGAACCACATCCTGCGCTGCAACGGGGGGCGATCGATGGAGGCTGCACGGAAGCTGGGCCCACGTCACAAATTTGTGGTTTTCAGCTGCTCCCTTGTGAAATGCGGCAGGTGGAGGCATGGCAAATGAAAGGAAGTTGCACTCTCCGGGGCGGGCAGTCCTGGTGATTTTTCTGTTGCAGAGACAGGCAGGCAGAAGAGAAATCTCTTTTTCTAGCCTTTTCTGCAGGAAAGAGGTAAGTGCAGTTGGGGGAACAGGCCATAACTCAGGGGACGGGCTCCTGCTTGGCAAGGGGGAAATCTGTCATCTTACGTCAAAAGGGGAGCTGCCCATGAGACTTTAGAGAACGCCTGGTGTTTGTAGGTAGACTGCCCCAGCCTCTGGAAGCTCCGCTTGGCCATCCTGCAGCCAGGGATATACTTCCCTTGCATCAAAGCTGCCCAAGGGCCCCTTTCAAGCCATTCTCATTTGATCAAGCATGCATACACACCCTTGTGTGTCAATGCTCCAAAGTGCACCCCGAGGAGAGAGTGCTGAGTAGGTTGGGGGTGATGGTGGTGCTATGGTAGAAGTGTTAAGAATTACAAATTGACATGAAGATCATAGCAGAATTGGGCGGGGGGGAGTTGCTTATTTGCAGGCGTTTCCCGACCAAAGGAGATGTGACTTTTCCGCAGATAGCGTCCTGTGGACCTGCCTAGGTTGAGATGTACACAAGTTGTTGAAAATGAAAGAGAGACTCAAAGGACGAGTCCCAGAATTAATCTGAAGGGCAATGCATTGATGTAATTGCTTGATCTAACTCTGTTTCTCAACCTTGGCCACTTTAAGATGGGTGGACTTCAATTCCCAGAATTCCCCAGCCAGCATGGCTGGCTGGGGAATTCTGGG